AAGCTAGACTATAATATCGAACTAAAGCACAAGTTTTGTCGCCTTTCCACTTTAAGCTACTGCACATGTTATGTAAAAATATTACGACTGGTCAGCGGTATATACATATAGATTATTGGCACTTGCATCTATTTATGTTTTTATTTGTTTTATGAATTGCTCACTCTGTAGTTTTCTGCCACATGATGTACTATTTTAAAAAGTATTCAAATTTAAATTACTCAATGCTTTGTATCTACTAGACTTTGTGAATGTTAAAGAGCCTGAATCCAAAGATAAAAGTGTTAAAACTCCTGCAGTGAAGTCTTTTTCCCACTATCAATACACTAAAGGGACGCAGTGGAAGTTGAAAGTGTCAAAGAATACCGAAAATAAAGTCCCAAAAGAGGTCTTCATCAACATTGGTCTTATGCAATGGTGCTCCCAGGAACATTGTTGCAAAGCAAAAAGGGGAAAGGAAATAGTTTTGAGAGTGGAACCAGAAGTTACATATATTTCCCTACTCATTGAARCAGAAAGTAAATGGAAAGATTTTCATAAAAACTTGTATAACCGAGACCAGACCTATCTTTTGTTATATGAAGATGGTTCAAAGGCASAATATATGCCAGGTTCAGAGAATGATCTATTTACTTTGAAGAAGTACCATGATGAAGTTCGTAAGGACTATAAACGAATAACATTATATTTAGCAACTGATGAAGACTTCCAGTTATCAGTTGATGAAGGCAATGCAAGCCAAGATTCCCTTGCTAGTAAGGAATCTGATTCTGATGATGAAAAGTTAAGCCATTCTCCGTTTGAAAACTCTGGATCTKATAAAAAGCAGTGTTCYCTCAAATCTAAGCAGCCAAGGAGCACATCTACAAGTAGCTCAGCTATTGACTTAACTAYTGAACCACCATCAAAATGCAAAGCAAGTACTTCTTTTACATCTCTGCAAAGTCAACTTGATAACACAGTTGAGCTTGACGATGATCTTGCTATACAGCTACAAGAAATTTTTGATGGAGAATGTTCTAATAACCTAACTATGAATCTTGGTAACAATATTGATGATGCAAGTCAAGAGTCTGTAATGCAGTCCATCAACCTAAATGTTGACACATCAGGACAGTTCTTTGTTGTCATAAGGCRTGGTGCTGATGTTTATAGGAAACTATCCATCTGGAGAAGAGAAGCGAAGAAAAGTGTTTCAGGTTCTCATCCACTGAGGATAAGCTATGTTGGAGAACAAGGAATTGATACAGGAGCCATGTCCAAAGAATTCTTCACAGGAACAGTTGCAGAGATAGGGTCAACCTTTTTTTCAAATGGCTGCCCAGTTGATTCCACTTTCCACATCCAAAATGGCAACGTACGCACATGTGGAAACATTGTAGCTTCAAGTTTGGCACAGGGAGGGCCTGCACCCCACTTTATGGATGAAAGTGTATATAACCTCATGATAAATCCTAATGTGGATCTTCAGAAGCTTGATAAAGACAGGCATTTAACTGAGTATGACAGGAATTTGCTKCAGTCTGTTAGAGATGACATTGTTTCCAATACAGATACCATTATTGACTGTGGTTATACAGGCCCAATAGATAAGGAACACATAGAAGAAATTGTCAATTCTATCATTGTATCCATTGTTTCCAAGAGATTAATGTGCCTGCAGGAGTTTGTGGAAGGTCTAAACCAATTTGGTGTTGCGCCCTCAATACGCCTTTTTCCTAATATCTTCAAAGTTCTGTTTACTCTGGAATCCCAACCCACTGCGAAAGTAGATGCAAACCACATCTTTTCAGTTTTGGCTCCACAATATTCAATGATAGGTAAGAAGAATTCACCTTTCTGGAATTCATGACGGGACAGGGAACAAGTGTAGTAGTATTAATCTAATTAAGAACCAAACACATCACATGAAAGATCACACTAAAATTATTAAATATAAAGTTTTAGAATGAGATTTTTTATGAGCTTTTAACAAATCTTTAAAATAAGAGAGATCGAATGTATGGTTTTGGGATACTTTCCTTATATAAACCCTCTTTCTCTTTTAGAAGCTTATAACTCAGTAGGTATTTATCTAAACATGCTCAAACCCAGTTACAATACTGTTTGTATGATTTATTTTGTGTTGGGGATAATTTTTTAATAAGAAATGTTTTTCACTCAAAACGTGAGTCCTCTCATGAATTCCAGGAACCAAGGTGAATACTACTTTATAAACAATTTTCAATCAATTCACTGCAAAGAGTACATTTAATTATATTGTTTTCTTTTGTGTTGATGATATTATTAATCCCCCCTCTAAACTCCCATGATCCTTAGGATACATGATATTGCATATGTAGGGTAATAGCATAGCCCTTTGCAGGGTATGGTCACATC